AATGCTGCTTCTGATCCAATGTTTAAGAACCTTCTGATCTTCCAGGAGAAATCAACATAACCATACATAGTGCTTTCGTTTGCCGCATCAAAAGAATTGGAAAACCGGGTACCTTCTTCATTTGTCCCACACAAAGTGTCTAGTTCGACATCAAGGAGACTGAAAGAGAAACATATCCACCAATAGTCGGCTCCTCCAGCAACCACAAAGTGAAAGAAACCAAAGGCCAAAGTGTTTCATTCAGCTAATAGCTTATATACCTCAAACGCCAAAGTCTTACCTGCACATAATCTACAGCATTAACTGAACCAAACAAAATAGATCACCTCAGTTGCAACCACTACCACGTCTCTAGAATTGTATTTGGAACAAAAATTAGAGTAGTTTCTAGAGAGAAGATTCTTACCTGATGCTCTGCCAAAGGGGCCCCCAACTCCAATAAGTTAGAACAAAATAGGAGAAGAAACCGAAACAGCTATAAAGAACAGAAAAAAAGGAAGATAAAAAAATATAATGAAGAACTCGTTTGTGAAGATTGGCGAAGAAGTTTTGATTATGCAGTTGAAATTTGGAACTGTAGCAGTTATGAGGAAATAGCAGCAGTTATGTGGAAATAGAACTCCAAGTCTAACGTGTGCTTTTCTTTTCTTTTCTTATTCCTTATTCCTGATGCTTCCCCACCTCTCTCTCGATTTTGAGTCTCTACTGCGCTGCTTTCTCTACTGCGCAGGCTGCTCTGGTGCCTCCTCATGTGCGGACTCAGCCTCGGGAACCGCCGCACCGCCACCAGCCTCGGCATCAGAAGGACTCGCAGCATCTCTAGACGAGGGGGAAGCAAAGAGCAACTCCCTGCCAGGAGGAATAGGTGGAGGGGCACTACTGGTGTCGAAGTTTATATCCAAGTCTGGATTAAACCTCGCCACCAGCTTCTCCCACCCATACTGCTCCTCAACCATCGCATCAAACACAAGGTTCTTGAATTCCTCCGAACCCTTGTACCCCTCGACAACCTCGGTGCGGGCCGCAGCTAGCTCCTCCACCTTCTTCCTCTCAGCTTCAGCCCTGGCCTCCTCTACCACCTCTAGCCGCCGCGCCGTCTCCTTCAGCTCCCGCTCGAGCCTCCCGACCCTTAGCTGCAGCTCGTTTTTCTCTCGAATGGTAGCCTGGGCTTCAGCAGTAGCAGCTTTCACAATCTCGGAATGGCGCCTCGCCAAGGCCACCTCCTTCTCAGCCCTGGCCAGGGTGATGTACATATCCCCGAACGCCTGCAACGACATGTCATCAGATTTAGCTTCAAACAAAAACTCGCAAGTATAAAAAGTTTCATCACAGTACTAGTATACTCACATTGGCAGTAGAGAGGACTGACTTCTGGACTCGATCCAAGAAGTCCGTGGCCTTCGTCCGAGCAAGCTCCCCCGCATCCATCTTCACCCCTGTTAGGAAGGTGTTCACAAGGGGCACTTCCTGGCGATGCATCGCCAGGGTTACCTCCTTCTTCTGCCACTGAATAGCGGCAAAGTCCGTGTCCTCGGTGCCCTTAGGGAAGAGCTCCTCCATCCCCAGCGGCAGCTTCGGTGGGGGGTCCAGATCGATTCCTCCAATACCCTCCGCCTTTTGTCCACCTCCCAACCCAGTACCTTCGTCTTCTCGAGGACGCTTCTCTGCAGCTACCCCTTCTGCCCCCC